TAGAGGAATGCCACGCTGCCTGTTCCAAGGACTTGTCAATGGGCTGTAGGTAGAAAGGAAATTTAAAAATTTTTCTTCTGCCTTTGTTTCCCACATCAGACCTGCTGCATCCATTGTGAACACAAGTCATAGCTTTTTATTCTAAGAATACAAACCAGGGCAAAATTTTCATCGCAAGAAAAATGAAAAACAACGAAAATCTGTGCGCTCTGCGGATGGAGTGGTAGGGTAGGTTGCAGTGTTGTTGACTGAAACGGAACTGACACTGGGCTTTCGCCTTCCTGGGAAAGATGTCCAGTCCCCTGTCCAAATAATTGCCACCCTCCAAACATTTTCTTCATGCTACATCTGATAGGAATCCAGAGGCCTCATTTTATAATTGTGTGAGCAGAGGCTTAGAATGATGGGACTTGCTCAAGGCCTCGTGACTTAAACCCAGGATGCCTTTAAGCTCTAATTAATATGAAAGCCCTTAACACGAGAATGGAGAGACGGAGGAGGGAGGGGATAGAGAAGGAGGTGTCACGTGCTCCTTGGCAGGCAGGGGCACTGACAGGTGTGGGCCAACCAGAAACCTTGCGGGGAGGGCAGGCGAGTCTGTTGAGGAAAGAGGAGATGGAGGCTGGGGCCTAGTTGGGTTATTTTCAGAGCTGCTATCTTTGTCTGCATCTGCTAAATTATTAAACTGATATCACATCCTAGAGGGTGGCAGGCCAGGTTGCCAGGAAGAGACTGAAAAGGAGGGGTTGGATCTCTTGGCAAGGCCTCGAATCTTCTAGGCTGGGATGGAAGCAGACTCCTCAGGCCTTGACCTCCCCACCCCCCTCTCAGCTGATGGAAGAGGATCCTGCTTTGGGCCAGAGCCTCTGTCAGGCTCTGTCTCTCTCCGCTGACTTCTGTCCTGGGAGGAGCGTGTATATAATGGATAGGACTCTGGAACCAGGTGCCCCCTGGGCTGCCTCTTCTCTTTCTGGTCTCTGACTCAGACACAGACAGATAGGATCAGCTCGTGAGACCTTGGACAAATCCTTGCATCTGTGTCCTTGTCAGTGCTGTGGGTACTGGCGATTCCATTCCCTAGACCCTGAAGTTCACAGAAAGTGTCTTTCTCAAGGTTGCACAGCTAGGAATGGTCTGAGCTTCAGTTCAGACTGAAGTCTCTCTAATTCCAGATGCCTTTCCCCTCCCTCCTTATTCTTTTAAAATGTTAATATGTTCTTTGTTTCTCATCTTTTCTACAAAGGGAATGTATAACTTTTATAAAGATCAGAAAAGCCAATAATCTTTATACTTTAAAAATGTGTTTCCTGGGGTGACTGGGTGGCTCAGTCGTTAAGCGTCTGCCTTTGGCTCAGGTCATGATCCCAGGGTCCTGGGATGGAGGTCCGCATGGGGCTCCCTGCTCAGCAGGAAGCCTGCTTCTCCCTCTCCCACTCCCCCTGCTTGTGTTCCTTCTCTCGCTGTCTCTCTCTGTCAAATAAATAAATAAAATCTTTAATAAATAAATAAATAGAGGCACCTGGGCTCAGGTCATGATCCCAGGGTCCTGGGATCGAGCCCCACATGGGGCTCCCTGCTCAGCGGGAAGCCTGCTTCTCCTTCTCCCACTCCCCCTGCTTGTGTCCCCTCTCTCTCTGTCTCTCTGTCAAAATAAATAAATAAAATCTTAAATAAATAAATAGATAAACAAACAAACAAATAAATAAATAACGTGTTCCCTAATTCCACATGTTGTGTTTGCCAGGCTGGCTGTGTCCTTAGAGGTGCGGGAGTGCAGGCCAGTTAAGGAAGCCAGGAAGGAAGCTGGCAGGTGCCAAACATCTCTTATCTTTGGTCTTGTGCACACAGTTTCCCAACCTAATCTTCCTCCCTTCCTGTCCCCACCCCCCCACCCCCATCTGGGCATCACTCCATTTGATTCATCCTTCAGGTCTCAGTTTAAATATCATCTTCTGCAGGGAACTCTCCTGAACCCCTCCCCATCCAGCTGGGCTCAGTGTCTGTTCTATGTCCCCATAGCCTCTGTGTTCCCCCCATCCCAGGAGATATCTCACTGAAATGCCATCACCTGGCTATGTCCCCCCAACTAGACTCTGTGCTCCCTAAGGGCAGAGCCCCATCTGATCATTGCTGTACCTCCAGCAGCCAGCCTGACAAAGAGAGAGATAATGATCAAATTTTTTTTATTTTTTTATTTTTATTTTTTAAAGATTTATTTATTTGACAGAGAGAGACACAGCAAGAGAGGGAACACAAGCAGGGGGAGTGGGAGAGGGAGAAGCAGGCTTCCCGCGGAGCAGAGAGCCCGATGTGGGGCTCGATCCCAGGACCCCGGGATCATGACCTGAGCCGAAGGCAGACGCTTAATGACTGAGCCATCCAGGCGCCCCGATCAAGTTTTTTTTTAAAAAGATTTTATTTATTTACTTGGTGGGGGGGCACAAGGGAGGAGGAGGGGCACAGGGAGAAACAGAGCCAGAAGCTGATGATCCCAGGACCCTGGGATCATGACCTGAGCTAAAAGGCAGACGCTTAACCGACTAAGCCACCCAGGTGCCCCTCAGATTTGTTGAATGAGAGAAGGAAAGGAAGGAAGGAAGGAAAAAAGGAAGGAAGGAAAAAGGGTTTCTACATTCTCAACAAGCTCTACCCTTGCATTATTTTTCAATTAAAATAAACATTTAATGACTGTCTTATGGGGTCAGGCACTCTAACTTGAGGTGATTCTAATGATAAGCAAAACCGATCTAGGGAGAGAGACTATTGAACAACTAAACAAATACATATATATCTATAACTTGTGGGAAGTGCCTAGAGAATAGGAACAGGGGACAGATCAGAATAGCAGGGAGGTGAAGGATGACTTTGGAGTGGGTCAGATCCATGTTTGAATTCTTTCTTGGCCACTCATCTGCTGTGTGGCCTTGGACAAACCTCTTCACTTCTCTGGGCTTTGGTTTCTTGTCAGGAAAAAAAGGCTGCTGATGCCTGTCTCTTGGGGATGCTGTGAGGATATAGAGAACATTCATCCGTTCACTAAATATGGGTTGAGTATCTCCTATTCAGAGAAACAATTTGCCCAAATGGACAATCTGTGTGGGATTTGAACTCAGGTCTGGCTGGGTCTCTGGGTCTGGCTGATGATGGGGATGGGGGCCAAGTTCTGGTCTTGTTCCCCTTGATTCATCCCCCAGAAGTTAGGAGCAGTGATCTGCCTGATGTTGGCAACATGTCTGTCAATCGACCCACAGTGATGGGTGTGGGGGGGCTTCTGCACAGAGAAGGACACAAGGTTTGATGACACAAAGGAGACCATTCAAAGAAAGGACACCATTTAGCAGGGCATTCCTCCTTGCTGGGGGCAATCTGGAAACTCCCGAGCCTCCATTATTCCCACGGAGCCCCTCTGACTCCTTGAGCCCCCATCCCCCTCACTGATCCTCCCTTCTCCCTCCGTGAGCCTCTTCCAGCACCAGCTCGGCCACTAGTTCTCTCCCCCCTTACTGAGTCCATCATGTTCACTGAACCCTTCTTCTTGCCCTCACTGAGCCCCTCCCCCCCTCCACTGAGCCCTGTCACTGAACGCCCTCCTCCTCCCTCTTCCTCCCTCTTCCTCATGAGCCTGGCATGAACCACTCCCCTATCTGAGCGCCGTCTGAGCTGCCTCCTAGGAACCAAGCTTTCTCACCCACTCACTCAGTCTAAGGCACCTGAAAGTACTCAGAGAACACGGGAGGGGAGGGAGGGGCCTCCATCGTCCTCCTCCACGAGAAGCCCTCGCATCAAGTGAATGCAGCTCCCCCATCAGTCTCTCTTCAGGCTGGGGCAGTAGTCACACTGGCTACACCTTTTTGGCAGGCCCTCCTGAGTCTAAGATTTGCTGGGGTTCTTCCCAATCAGTCTCAGAACTGGTTTCTGGCCCTCCAGCCCCCGGCCCCGCCCCCGCCCCCGCCCACAACAGACACCTCGCATCTCTCCTGGCACCTTCAAGTGGGTGGAAACTGAGGCAAGGCCATGGTGTGTGGGCCAGTGTTTGGAAGTGGTAGGTCACTTCTCCTTCAGAGAAAAATGGGGGCAGGGCTCAGTCCTATCGTTTTGCCAGGATGACTGAAGTCCCATTTAAGGAGGGTCCCTCAATGACGGGAGACCCAGGTATCTGAGCTCCCAGAGGGCATAAATGGTCCAGCTGGTCCCATTCAGTGGTCCAGATTCAGCTACTGACCTGCAATGTGACCTTGAGCAAGGCACCACTGTACCTTCTGGGTCTGTATCCCCCTCTGTTTCTAGATGTGGGGATACCTACCTACCGGGAGGAGCAAACAGGAGCAAGGACACAGAAAGAATTTTGCACACGGTGGGGTCTTGCGCTCCTTTGCGAAAGCCGCGCCAGGCTCAGCGGCTGCGCTGTGGTTTGTTCTGCAAGCGAAGGGCTTCTTTGGCGGGGAACCAACCCGGCCAGATCTCCCCTGGGACGCCAGTCACCCCTCTATATTAACCTCTCCACTGACCCAGGGAGATTGGAGAAGGGGTCCTGGCGAGACTTGTGGCCCAGCCCAGGCAGAACCGATTCGGCCAAGGGGCAGCGTGCGGTAGGGGAAGGAGCACTGCGCAAGGAGTCAAGTCTCCTGAGTTCTAGTCCAGCCTCTCACTAGCACACAGTGTGGCCTCAGGCCCCGCCCCACCCTTCACCGCGAGGTGACTGGAGTCCATGCTTTCTAAGCATCAGCTACCAGAGCTTATGACTCAGGGACCAGACCAAAGAAGACGCGGTCCCCTTTCCACCCCAAATTCGGGGGGAGGTGGATGGGCACCGGATGCCCGGGGGGCGGGGGACAGAGCTGAACGAAGGACCAGGGACCCCAAGGGTTTGGGCAGTGTCCTGAGAAGGCGGGGCCGGGGAGGCGGGTTCAGGCATGCCAGTCTCTGACTGGCTGTGCTGCCCATCGCTCCGCCCCGTGCGCTATAAGACGCACCCGCCGCTCGCGCGGGGGCTGCCGCTGCATCTCTCTAGCGTGTGCGGCGTCGGTCCTCCCCTAGCGCGGGCAGCTGGTCACACCCGCGGACAGACAGCTGCGGGCCGCCGGGGGGCGGGGGATGCCGGGCTGCCGCATCAGCGCCTGCGGCCCGGGGGCGCAGGAAGGGACGGCGGAACCGGGGTCCCCGCCGCCGCCGCCGCCCCGGGAGCTCCTGTCATCCCCTCAGCCCCCGCCCCCAACTCCGGCCTTGACTCCGACCCCGGCTCAGGTCTCGCCGCCGGCCGACGCGGCTCCGGCGTGGGCGGGCTCGGCGGAGGGGCAGGAGCTGCAGCGCTGGCGCCAGGGCGCTAACGGAGGCGCGGGGGGCACCGGGCCGGCAGGGGGCGCGGCGGCGGCGGCGGGAGCCGGGGGCCGCGCGCTGGAGCTGGCCGAAGCGCGGCGGCGACTGCTGGAGGTGGAGGGCCACCGGCGCCTGGTGTCGGAGCTGGAGAGCCGTGTGCTGCAGCTGCACCGCGTCTTCCTGGCGGCCGAGCTGCGCCTGGCGCACCGCGCGGAGAGCCTGGGCCGCCTCAGCGGCGGCGTGGCGCAGGCCGAGCTCTACCTGGCGGCGCACGGCTCGCGCCTCAAGAAGGGCCAGCGCCGTGGCCGCCGGGGCCGGCCGCCCGCGCTGCTCGCCTCGGCGTTAGGCCTGGGTGGCTGCGTGCCCTGGGGCGCCGGGCGCCTGCGGCGGGGCCACGGCCCCGAGCCCGACTCGCCCTTCCGCCGAAGCCCGCCCCGCGGCCCCGCCTCCCCCCAGCGCTGACCTCAGCGCCGGGACCCCTGGCCACCCCCGACAGGCCATCGCCGAGGGGCCGACCGGCGGCCTGGGACGTCGGCTGGATGGACGGTGTCACCGACGCGGATGGAGGGACTGATGGACCCCAAGAAGAAACAGTCGGGGGGCCAGGGGCCCAGTAAAGGAGGCTGAGGTGCGGTCTTGGCGGCTGGTGCATCTGAGGGGGTGGGGCGGGGTGGTGCCGGGCCCCGGATCTCCCTTCCCTGGGGCTTCTGGAGTCCGCTGGGTCCCTAATAAAGCTGGCCACTTTGTAACTGCCTCTCCCCGCCCTCCTGGGGAGTGAGGTGGTAGCACCAAGTCCCCATTAGAGAGTTGGATAAATTGAAGATGCTCAGATTCCAGGAGGGGTTTGCCCGCAAACTTTTACCAGTTGGAACCTGCTGTACTGACGCAGGCCTCCTGCCCGCCCTACCCCCCAACCCGCGTTGCCTTTCCTGGGTCCCTTGTGGCTGTAAGAAGAACCTTGCCCTTGAGACTGCCGCTTTCTGTCACTGCCCAGCTCCACAGCTTCGGGGAGGACAGAATAATGAGGTCCCAGGATGGGGTGGGGTCTGGGCCAACGATGTACGCCTGAATTCTCTCCTAAGCCCCTGTTTCCCATGTGAGGGGATGGCATCCCAGAGAGGTGGAGGAATTGTTTCCATCATACTTGGGTCCTTCCACTTCTAGGAGACAGATCTTTTCTCATGCTCTCAAGCAGTTTTGCCAAGAGTACATCCTGACTTAGATAACCAGGGTGGGGTGTTTGGTAACTGCCTAATGCCTCACCTGCTCTCCTAGGGTCCCCCCTCCCAACCTGTCTCTAAGATGGCTCTGCCAGGGATGAAGCCAGGTTACATCCTTTAACAGGCCCCAAGGGGGCAGGTATGTCATCTGTTTCTAGAAAGGGGGGCCTTAAAGGGCCAGACCTGAAATGAGATTGACTTCTCTTCCTGTCCGCATGCCCTTCAGGACCCCCCACAGCTGTGAATTGCCTGGCTGCTGCTTTGCTGCTCATCCGCTGATTGGACTGCAGCCTTCCTCGTCAGTCCGCGAAGTGGTTGTCCTCACTTCTGGGAAGGGCTGTAGTGAGGTTAACACAGGGCAGAGGTCTTTCTTCTTCCTCCTTAAGTCACGGAGGAATGCTTTATTCTTTTATTTATTTTTATTTTTATTTTATTTTTTGCTTTATTCTTTTAAATCACACCTAGAAACAGGTACTGCTTTTACCGGTGGAGCCAGGAGCTGATTTAAAGTCCTCATTTTACAGAGTGTTAAGGTCACATGCCCGCACTGGACAGAACTAGGTCCCAGTCCTGTGTGTGTCCTTCCCATGTGTCTCCTCCCTACCCAGGGGCAGGGGCTACAGGGAGCTGTCCAGCCTGTCTGCCGTGTGACCTAGAACAATTCTGCCTCCTCTCTGGGCCAGTTTCCTCAGTCCCTCTCTGAACATAGCTGTCCTTCCTCATGTCAGGGCTTGGGAATGGGGAAAAGGGGATAGAATGAGAACATCAGAGTCCCAGGAATCTGGTTGAATCCTAGAGTCTTGAGGGTCAGGTGCGTTGTTCTGAAAGGCAGAGCCCCAGGAGCCCTCCCCCGACTCTCATCAGCCCTTCCTCTCCTCAGGTACCAAACTTTGGGGCTGGTTTCTAACATCCAGGCCTTTCCAAACCCCATTCTTAGCTGGGGAAGGGCAGTCCAGGAGGAGGTCTCAGGGATTCTGAGAGAGCAGTGAGGGGCCCTGGCATCCTCTGGCCTCCGTGGAGAGGGAGAACCTTCTGAAGCTACTCAGTTCATGCGGGGTCTAGAGGCCCAGAGAGAAAAAGCACTTCCTGGAGGTGACAGTGAGGAGCTCAAGCTGCAGCGCTGGGATGCAGCCAGTACTGTTGGTTTTCTGCGTTGTACAGGAGAGGGGCACTTGGTCCAGAGAAGCTTTTAGCTAATGGTGTAAAGTGCTCTGCGTCATCATAGTGTTGCCTTTCTCCGGGATTTATTATCATCAGCTTTGTCCTGATTTGGAGGGGGCAGGGAGTGAGGAATTAGAGATGGCTCTTGCTGGAGAAAGTGGTGCATGTGTGTGGGAGATGGAGATTGGTCCTAGTGTCACAGGTGGCTCTGTCCCCCTTCCCCTCTTCTAGATATCCCACTGCCTCTCACCAAGGGCCTTGACCTGGGGAACACGGTGCTCAGTGACTTGAACCCCAGCTCATGGTTCAGTGCTCTGCCCACTACTCCTCTGCCAGCTAATAAGTCGCTTTCCCACCCCTGTCTGGTCCACCCAGCCCCCTCTAGGACGCTGCGTTTTCTCCTCAGTCAACAAACACTGTTATCTACTCAGCCCAGGGGCTCAAGAAGGAGCACTGATTTCAGAGGGGCTCTTCTCTTAAGGGTTCGTGTCTCCCAGCCCTCCTCCAGGCAGCCTTCCCTGGCAGTCACTATCCCAGGAGACCCTCTGGGGCGGGGCAAGTTGTGTTGTTGGAGGGCTATTTTTAGGCCTTCACAAATAACCATAGCCCCTGGCCTGGTGACTGACACGCTCCGCCCCCCCCGCCCCGCCCCAGCTTCCTGAACACTTTCTTGATGGCCCCATCCCTGGGGTTCTTGAGAACTTCGATGGCCAGCAGTGAATCTGGGATTTCAGCAAAGGGAAATGAGAACAGAAGCCTTTCTTCAGGCCAGCGTTTGGGGCTGGGAGGGAGTTCAGGGTTCTAGTTTAAAACTTGCCCCTCCCCTGGATAAGCCCTTCCCTCTTTTGGAGGGCCCTAAGCCCAGTGAAGGCGTCTCTGGGCGGCGCCACCAGAGGGCAGTGTGGGGCTGCTTTCCGGGGCGTGGGGGCGTGGCCTGGAGCAGGCTTGGTCCCCGGGGTCCCCGCCCCCGACCAGCCCTCTTCCGTCCTGCCCAGCCTTCGTCGGCCTTGTGTTTTAAGGGTCTGGCGGAACGAGCGGGGCGTAGCGGTCATTCAGAGAAGGGGCGTAAGTTTGGGCCTGTGGTTGGGCCCGGCCTCGGACCTCGGAGAAAGGTCCATCAAGAAAGACTTAACTGGAAAAATGTTGCCCCTCTGGGCGGTCACCGTCTGAGTGAAAGGCTGTAGTCATTTCGCTCCTCAGAGATGTTACACTGATAACTGATCAGAACATCACATTCTGCAGCCACCTGGGGGCCAGGTTGGCTTCCTAGAGATGAGGCTTAAACAGGTCACAGCTACGGTGCTCCAAACCTGTAGTGGGCAGTCTTGAGGAGGCCTCCCCCCCTCCTCCCCTCCTGCCAGGTCCCTAGAGAAAACCCAATAGCCCAGGCTTCTCAGGGATAAAAGAGAGGCTCCCTGCTTTACAGCCAGGGGGAGGAGGCATTGGGGAAATTTGGGAGATCTCCAGCCTATTTCTTCCTCTATTAGTCCTTGACGGAACCCTGGCCAGGTTCCTTGGTTCTGGAATATATTAACCATCTCCATGCTGGGCACTGTGCTGAGCACATTACACCCTTTATCTGTTATAATCCTCCCAGCTACTCTGCAAAGTAGGGGTTATTATACCCATTTCCATGGATGAGGAAACTGAGGATCAGGTAGGGCAGGTGACTTGCCCAAGGACCTAGAACCTGTAAATGAGGGGTCCTTTAAACATTAGTCTATGTGGCTTTTCATTTATCAGGCTAGTAAGGGCTCCATTTGAGGGGGTTTCTGGGTTCTTACCCTTTAAGTCTGAGTACCGTGACCCCTGGTCCTCGGATCTGGGAGGGATGTGATGAGATGCTGGAAGGGTGGCAGAAGGCGTACCCCCCTCCCCAATCACCACCACCAAGGTCTGGGCACAGCCCCAGAAGCTGGCTCCCCACCCTGGTTGTCTGGGCTTTGGGGGGTGAGTCAGACTGAGTCAGAACATCTGGCTTCAGGCAAGGGCAGGCCAACGATGCTCAGGGCCTCGGCTTGCTTTAGAGGGCTACCTCCTCTCCCTGCACACCTGGCTGGAATGTTCGGTGCCAAGGAGGGCAGAGAGCCTGGGGTGGCAGAGGAAGAGGAGGACAGGCTCTATGGTGGAGGCAGAAAGCGCCCCAAGCTTGGAATAGGACAGATCTGAGATTCAGTGTTTGCCTGTAACTTCTCAGCTGGAAGACCTTGGGCAAATGACTTCCCTTCTCTGGGCCAGTTTCGTGTGGGTGTGGGTGTGGGTGTTGGGGGGGGGGTCTTACTGGGCAGCTGGAGAAGAGATAACTCCTGACTATTGAAGGAGAGGTCACACTAAGCACCTGGCACATAGTGGAGATTAATACATGTTTGATAGAGCCAATCTGCCTAACCCAGGAGAAGCTGCTGGGCCAGAAGCCCTAGGCAGCCTGGGCCTTTGCTTCCCCGGAGCATTGCCATATCAGGAATCCCTGGAACCGATCCTCCTTCTTCCCCACGCTGTGGGCCCTGGGGAACTCCATAAGGGGAGAGGTGGAGGAGGGGCAGGCTTTTCTTCCCAGGAACATTCCATTCCAGCTGCTCAGACCAGTGGGGATTCCAGCCAAGGACAAAGGCCCAAGGGAAACTCTGCTTATCCCAGGATTCCCCATCCCTTCCAGGGCAGGAGCCAGTGGAGCCCTGCTTCATAATATTGACTGTACCTTCTCTCCACCATGGCTCCTCTTGAGGCAGATGTTGAAGGGTTTGGGTGGGGCTGGGTGGCTGTGGGAAGGAGGTAATTAAAGCTCTTGAAATGATTCTTTCCAGCTCCTCCCAGATCCTCAGAGCCTCCACTCTACGGATCCGGACTCCTGGATTCTGCTCCTGCCCTGGGCATCTCCTTCAGGAAGACGTCCCGCAACCTTACACAACCAAATTGATCCCGTACAATCTTGGCACCGTTCTCCCTTCACAGGGGCCTTGCACTCAACGATAGCAAGGTGCTGGGTTCTGGGGTAGGCGCCTGTACTCTGAGTTTCCTTATCTAAGCCACATTTGATTTTGGCTGACACTGTATGCTTGGAAATGTTACGACAGGTCCTCTGAGATGCAACCAGATTATTTAAGAAAGCAGCAGACGTTCCCAATGTGAAAATGAAAGGGAGTTCTTTTAAAATATAGTCGTCGTTCTTAAGTCACAGTGCCCCTGGGGTCCCCATTTTGGTTGATGTCATGGCTTCTCACTCTGACAACGCTGGGAGGCCTGTTTGAGGGGAAACGTTGGTCTGAGAAGTCCCTGTTTCCCTTCCCCACTGTCCTTGTCCTGACGAGGGGTGTGCCTGTGGCCCCTCAGAAAGATGATCAGCTGCTGGCTCCAGGGGGAGGGGCACCTCTTTCTCAGGGAGAGGTGGTAGCAACATAAAAATTCAAAGCAAAGTTTTAAATGAAAAAAGGGAGCATATTTATTCAAATATCCTGATAATAAAGGGAAAGGGGGGGCACATTTACTCACACACAACCCAGAACTTGTATTCTGCAAAATGAATGTCTATTGAATCAGTCCCCTGATTTATACATTCAGGAAGAATAAATTTCAATAATGTGAAACAAAGGCATGTGGTTTTGAGGTTTACTTTGCAAGTGTCCCTACTGCCTTTCCTTTGTGCGTGTCTCTCATGACTCTTTAGGTTGGCAGTTCCCTGAGCAGCTTCCGTTTAGTTTTGGTTGGCAGTTTGGCCCTGTTGACTGATTTGCAGACCGCTTCCCCCTTGATCTGGCTCCAGGCTGCTCCTCTCCACGAAGTCTCCCCCGGTGAAGGATGTGATGAGGGAGCTGGGGGTTGGGACTGTGTGCCCCGAGAAAGTGGCGCACATTTGTGATAACATGGCGGCGTGCTGATCTGTGGAGGATTGTGTGTGACTGTGCTGGTGACGACGGGGGCCTGTGTGTCAGTCAGGGCCCCAGCAGGAGACAGGGCACCCTCAAACTGGGAAGAGATTTCAAGAGGGATTATTTCCAAAATGGTGGGCTTAAGAACCGACCAAGGGAGCTCTCTGGGGCTAGCAAGAGTGGGGAGCCTTTCCAAGGGGGAGGGGTGCGCCTCGACAGGAGAGTGGCCTTTGGCTGAGAGATGCAGCCAGCCACGGCAGCCTGGTGGGGAGGGAACAGGCGGAATAAACACCCCATTCTCCTTTCCGTCTCCTCTCATTGGCTGAACGCGACAGGAAGGCTGAGAACAAGGGAGCCATTGATGCACAGTCCACAGAGGTCAGCCTCCCGGGGCTGGAAGCATGGAGAAGCGTGGAAAGCGCAGGACATGTCGCTGCCCGAGGGCATGTCTTCTGCTCCCCAAAGTTCACAGCAGTGCCTCTTCTCCCTTTGGAGCTCCCCCACCCACCGTGTCCCATAAGGGGCAGGTGGACTGTGGCTGGGGGAGTCCTGTGGGGCTGGGGGGGCAGGCAGTGGGCTTTCCTCCCTCAGCCTTCCCCTCTCTGGCTCTGATTCCAAGTTCTTGATTTCCACCTGTCCTGGCATCTTAGATGGCGGCAGGAACTGTCCCTGAGAGAACAATGCCGGCCACTGAGTCACTCTTTTTCTCACACCCAGAAACACTGCAGCACCCCCAAACACACCCACAGGCACACCTGCTGCCAACATGGGCCTCTGACCTGGTCACCGCAAGCCACGGCTGGTATCGTGTACATCAAGAAAATATATCTCTTGCCACACTGCTACGCTGCCCTAGGCCTCCACAAAATGGTAAATGCACAGAAGCACAAAGGGTCGCGTGCCAAATGTGCCCCACCACAAACATGTACAGGACACAGAGGGCCCCGCTCGTCCACGTGAAATCGGAGTGGAGGAGCCGGAGGGCGCAGGGGTTAACAGGAATGGCCCCGGAGCCAGCCACACCCCTTTGACCTCTCTGGCACCAGCTTCCTTGTCTGTAAAGTGGAAATAATAACCGCTCTTCTCTCAAGGATGAAGTGAGAGGTAGTGACCGTGAAGACTTCGGCTTGGTGCCTGGCCTAGAGTGAGACTCCAGAAATGGCAGCTCATACTGGGAACTCGTGGCTCACGCTCTCCTACATCTCACGCCCATGCATGTTGCAGACCAGCAGCGGTGAGCGCGCACGCCTGTGCGGGGCGAGCCAGACACCCTCAGGCACACATGTGCCCCCAGACATGCCTGCTGGGAGCATGTGCCCATTAGCAGATTCCCTCTGCCCGGAAGCCCTTTCCCCAGACATGGCAGGGCTTGCTAGCCACTGCCTTTGTGTCTTTGTTGGATCAAATGTCACCCTGTGGATGAGGTTCACCCTGACTTTTTAAAGCACTTTCAATCCCTTACCCTCCCACATACTTTTAAGCATCACTGACCTTATAAGACCCTATCATTTAGTTTATTTTCTCTCTACCGTATTAAGAGTGTAATCTTCGTAAGAGTCGGGAATCTTGGTCTTTTGTTGGCCGATGTATTCCAACTCCTACAGGGCTCACTGGCACACGGTAGGCTGAATGCTGTGTATAGGCTGACACGTGTACAGGCTGACATCCTGTGGGTGTCTAGCTTTCTTATGTTCTGAAACAAGCACATCCAGGTGAACCCTACTGCCCACCCCAGCAGGCTAAACCTGCGTGCTTTATATACTGCAAACGTCCCCTCTTGCCCACATCAGGAGCTGGGAGAAACAATCTCTCCCAGGCCCCTAGCTGGGTGGGCACAACCAGGGTGTGGGGGGGCTGTTTTCAGTCACCAAGCCAAGAAAGTCTTTCCACTCACCTTTCTAGCCCTTTTGAGCCCTGCAGGAACTCACTGAGGTGAGGTGGCGGGACTCACCCAGGTCACCCGGGGCCTCCTTTGAGGCCTTGTTTTTTTTCAGCCTAGCTGGAACCATCAAAGCCACCACTTCAGAAACCACTAATGAGGCGGAATATGTTAAGGGCTTTGCCATCCCTGGATCAAAGGGGCTGGGTAAACAGTGGGCAGCGTCCAGGCCAGTGACTGGCTGATGCCCCGAGGGAAGAGCTCCCTGAGAGCCTGGCATGGCTCCAGCTGGGTTTGGAAAGGAGAGACCCTGCCCCTCTAGGGGACCTGTTTAGAGCAGGCCAGAGTGTGCCCATCAGCACTTGGGAGTAAAAGAGGGAACCAAAGGATTGATGGAAGCTCCCTCCCAGGTAGGGAGACCAAACCTGGGCTCTTGCTCTGGAGGATGCTAGAAGTCCCCCAGTCTCAGCTGCCACTACTGAAGGGGTCTCCAATTCACATTCACTCAGCTTGTCTTCCACCTGCTTCCTGAGAAAGAGTGGCGTTGGGTGGGTAGAGCTGGGGTCAAGCAGCCCTGAGCACTGGAGTGTTTGGCTAAGCCCAGCGTCATCAGGACTCCAGGTAGGAAATACTGAAATATTTACTCTTTAACGAGACTTGCTGAGGCAATTTGCAGGTATATGTCCCACGTGTAGACATGTGCTCCTGGCACAGTTCTCCAGCTGGGGCTGGTGTTGAGGGAAGGAGGTGCAACTCCCCAGCTATAGCCCAGGATTCAGACACCAAGCCACCCAAATGTCCCTGCCCCACAATGCAAGCCAGGTGCAGGCTGGGAGAGGCAGCCAGGGCCCCCACAACCATGGAAGGTCCTTCCCCCAGGAGAAATCATGGTGCTAGGTTTAGTGTAGACAATCTTTATTGGCAGGTGTTAAGAGTGCAAAATGGTGACAAATTCAGAGGGATGGGAGAGGAGGTGGGGCACGGTTCCCTTCCTCCAAGTGAAGACCCTGTAACCAGGTCAGTGGGGTGGGAGCACTTGACTGTGGCCACTTTGGGCCCAGCACCCTTCGAAGAACAAGTTCCTAGGCAGAGGGATCCTTACAACACAGGGGAAGGGAGCAACACCCCAGAAGGGGCATGGGCCGTGTCCCACCCCTGGCAGCTTGGCTTCTGCTCACCCACACACCTTGACAGCTTGGGGTAGGGGTGTTTGGGAATTGGGCTAAACCTATCCCTCTGCAAACCCAGGTAGCTGCCTCCTGCCTCAGTTTCCCTCCTCCCAGTGATTAGGTTGGATCGCCAGGCCCTGTCAAGGGTCTGGCCCAACCCAGAGTGAGTAGTTCCTATAACATACCATATTTTAGCCGTTGTGTGGGCTGCAGACCTTCTGAGCCTGCTGGGATCACCATGGGCTGGACTTACCCAAAATGACCCTTTCTTGGCCACAGAAATCAACCTAAGATGATGAGCATTGAGGCTACCACCCCAAACAAGGTTTGTCTCCTGAAGGCCACTGACCCCCCAAGACAAAGGGCCCCTGCACCCCACCATCATGCTGGTCCAAAAGTGGGGTGCAATAACCCAAAGGTCTATCAAGAACCCCAGCTTGGCCTTAAGCCCCCTGGGGGGGGCGGTGCTCACTCGGGGATGGGCGGGGTCTCGTCTGTTCAGTCCAAGGCCCAACCCTGCAGCAGTGCCAGGCCACTCAGCACAGGCTGCCTGTCTCTGGTCACATCCCCTGCACACTCGCGGAGACCCCACTCCATCGGGGAAGGTCCAGTATCTTCTGGCCAGGGTCTGAGTCAGTTACAAGGCAGCCAGGTGGGATAGGAGTGGGCCCGAGCCAGCAGAGGCTGCATGGGAGTCACGTAGTAACTGACCGTGGCAGGCACGACCCCGTCGGGGCCTGGGGGGCACCAGGCCAGGGCGGCCGCGGCAGCTGGGCCCTGCTCGGCCAGCGCCTGGAGCGCCAGCGTGGCGATGAGGTCCAGCGTCTGGCGCCGCTCGTGGCTCATGAGGCACACGGTGCTCTCATTGACCACCCGGTGCAGCGTCACCAGGCAGGCGTAGCGGCGGGCCGAGTCCGCCCCGCTGAAATGGGCCTCCAGGTAGCGCTCCAGCGTGCGCCGCTGCTCCACCAGGTCTGGGAAGTCGATGAAGAAGCGGGAGCACATGTACCGTTGCAGGGCGCGCACGTCGGTGCTGGGCCGCGGCCTGAAGCCCCGCACCAGGAGGTGGCAGTACTTGAGGAGGCCGCCACCGCGGATCTCCTCGGGGCTGCGCGTGGCGATGACGCGGTGCCGCAGGTGGTCCAGGGCCTCGGCAAAGTCCCCGTACAAGCTCTCACCGGTCACCGTTGGGTGGAAGGCCTCAGACATGGGCGTGGATGAGCACTGGCTAAAGAGCAGCAGCGAGTCCAGGATGATCTGGAAGGAGTCTACACTGAACTCAAACTGGCGCCTGACCGAGTCCACAAACTTGAGCTCCACGTTCTTGCCACTCTTGTTGGACAGCGAGATGAGGCTCCAGCGGTCCGTGTCCGTGCACACTTTCACCAGCTTCTGCACGTACGCCTCCTTGAGCGTCAGTGGCGTGATCTTAGCCCGGTTCACACCGGCCGGCAGGAAGTCCAGCAGGCAGGCCAGGACCACCTCCTTGGTAAGCTGGAAGGACGCCTCACTGCGCAGGTCCACGCGGAACACCAGGTCCAGGTCCTTGTAGCCCAGGCCACTCTCAGGGTGCAGCACGTGGCTGGCCGCCGAGCCGTGTAGCCGCACGCCGAGCACATGTAGTCCCCGCTCCTCCAGGCTGCTGCGGACCACCTGCGGAAGACAAGGCAGGACCGAGAGGGGTCAGGGGCTGGGCTCCTACCTAATAATCACACCAACATCAACCACGGTGACCGCTTTGCAGCTGTCATGCCTTTGGAAAGTCGTTTAACCCTCTAAAGCTTTGATTTCCTAATCTGGAGAATGGCTCCTTTGGAGGAAAGACTCGGACAGAACAGCACTAATGACAGCAAACACATACATAGAATTTACTAAATGCCAGGTCCTGATCTAAGCACTTTATACATTAGGATATAAAAGCGTATAATTCTCACAATTACCTACGCTATGAGGTAGGTACTATTATTCCCATTTTACACATGGAGAAATAGAAGCCCAGAGGGGCCAAGTAACTTCCCCAAGATCACACAGCTGGTGAACTAAACTCAGAGAGTTCAGGTCTTAACCACTACGTTATTCTACCTCTCTAAAACCTCAAGTAAAACACTTCATTTTGCGCCAGGCATGATGCTAACTGCTCAGATGTCTTAGGAATGTAATTGCAATTCACGTGCATTGCTACATTAACCCTCACAGTAATCCTGTATTTGGGCATTATTATCCCAATTTACAGATGGGGGACCAGAGGCACAGAGAGGTTAAGAAACAAGTCCAAGGTCAGAGAGTAGCCAGGTGGAGACTGGAACCCAGGCCAGTTAGATTCTCCAGTCCATGTGTGCTCTTTTGACTAGGACATATTCAGCTTAATTCATCTTTACAAGGACCCTCTGAAGCAAATGTTGCACTTGTTTTAGAGCTGAGGAAACTAAGGTTTGCAGTGGTGAGACCCCTGAGATTCGAGGGGGGGCGGCATTAAGAAGTGGTGGGCCTGTCAGTGAAAACCCAGACCCTTTCTGCTCTTGGGACAGGAGGTGGGTGATCATCTCAGGAAGCGCTCAGGGCCCAACCCAAGTGGGAAGAGATGCAGCAGACCCTGTCTGCTGACACGGGAACATGACCGGAACATGACCGGAAAACTGACCAGTCATCTTGAATCTGTTCCTTTGGCCCGAGGCATCTCTCTGGGCCTAGGACCATGTGGGGAGAAGAAAGGAGCTGGGCGCAGACATCCAGTCTTCTCAGCAACCCAGCATGCTTCAGGCACCATCCTGAAAGTGACCAGGCAGCATTCCTGCCCTGAGTGATTCTGCAACCCCGCCTTGCTGCCAAGTCAGCGCCCAGCACTGGGCTGGGCTGCCCTCCTCGCTTCTCAGGGAATTACTGCAAAGAATGCACTTAAGTGCTGAGGCGGCAAGCCACAGTGGGGCAATCCGAGGCGGGCGGCTCCCTCCAGGAAGGTTTCCGGGAGGAGGACCCAGACTAGGGGAAGGTATTGTAATGGCTACAGGGGTAAGCAACTGGCCATCAGGAACATGGTGGGGAGGAGCTGGGGGACAGGCAGGGAATATCAGTTAGGCACCTACTGAATACCTGGACGTTCTCACCAGAACCTATGGGGGATAGATCTTTTGTTTTCTCTTTTTAAAGATTTTATTTTTAAGTAATCTCTACACCCCACATGGAACTCCAACTCCCAACCTTGAGATCACAAGTTGCATGCTCCATTGACTGAGCCAGCCAAGCACGCTGATGGGGGACAGCTCTTTATGATCTCCAAGTTATAGATGAGGAAACCAAGGCTCACAGGAGTGTTGTCATCTGCCTGAGATCATGTAGAGGTGCCTTCAAATCCAGGTGTGGCTGACTCTCTTCCCATCACATTGCCATCCCAGGGTTTAGAAGGAGCAGAGACCAGAAACTAGGGTTCTAATCCTCCCTCTCAAAACTTCAAAGTGAGGGCGACCCTCCAGTCACTGAAGCCCAGAGTCAAGGTAGTTAGGAATGCGAAGGTGGGGGTTGGGAGATGCCTTGGCCAGACAGAATGGGGAAGCTGGAGGTAAGGCGCCAGTGGCTACAGTCCGGCCTGTGGGACTTCTGACCCACACCCTGGCAGCGGGCAGCTGTGCCCATGTAGACCAAGGAGAGAAGCAGGCAAGTCCTTGTCCCAAGGACGCTGCCAGACTTGCAGAGCAGGCCAGCCCCCTCCCTAGGTCCCAGTAGAGCTGACCGAACCTCACTCAGTGCCAGCTCCAGCTCCCAGGCTGCTGCTCACCCCAGGGCATGGCATCGGGCCTGCTGAGTAGGTGGCAGTACCCTTGGTAGGTGGCCTGCGTCAGGCCGTGGGGCCAGCTGTGTCAGCCAGCCGGCAGCTGTTGTCTCTCCCAGGTGTGACTGCAGCCGACTTGGCAGGCGGACCCCAGACACCACCACACCCAAAGACTGCAAGGCAGCTTGGAGCCTCCTGAATCAGACTTTCCAGCCATGCAGGGGGCAGTGGCTGCACCCTCCTTTCTTCTGTGCCAAGGGCCTCCCCAGAATTGCTCTCTTCCTGGGCCACTGCTGAGACCTTCAGGGGGGACTGTAGGTGCTATCAGCCAGCAGGCTTACAAAACTCGAATCTGGAGCTGCCTGATGCAGGCCCTCTGGCTGCAGCTAGAGAGATCAGATTGTCTAATTCAATTCCCTGGGCCCAGAGAGGGCAAAGGACCTTATCCAAGCTCACACAGCCAAGTGGCTGAACTTAATTAGAACCAGGCCTCCCAGAGCTATGGGCAGGGGACCCTCCTGTAGGACCTCATTTTCCTGTAGGACCTCTCCTACAGGAGAATGGGTCCCTCTAGTGCAGGTCCAAGCAACAATAGCATCTTTAGCTGCTCAGATTGCTGCTGCAGGCAAAGTCTTATGGGGGTACAGAGGAAGAAAGGTTCTAATTCTTGAATCATGGACAACCAGCATCCTCCACTACACGCAATTAGCATCTCTCCCTCTACCCCCCCCAGGGACCCCCCACCTCTGCACATAGCCAGTATGGATGCCCCTCATCCCCATGCACACCAAGCACCGCTATCCATGCCCCCATACACACCCAGCACCCCCACCACAGTTTGTGAAGCTGCCAGCAGCAGATCCCCACCAGGAGATGGACTTTCTTCCCTGGGGATGCAATTGTACAGGCCAGGTGAAGGTACCTGTTCCCTTTGGATTCTGGAATCTGAAAGGGTGTGGGACAGTAGTCCAACCAATCAGCATTGAAAAGATGGGGACACTGGGCCCAGCAAAGGGAACAGACAATAGTCCAGGCCCTGAAGCCGGATGTCCGACCTCCCAGGCTAGCTCTGAAGTCTCCACTGCCTCTCCCCACCACAGCCAGCTGCTCCCTGCTCTGTGGTATCTTTGACCCTAATCCAGGAGAACACTGTACTATTATGGCCTTGTAAAGTCAGCTCCTAATGGCCTGTAGTCTCCACCACCTGGCAGGGAGCACCTTGAGGGCAGAGAGGCTGGGTCCCAGTCACATCTATAGCCCTGGTGTTCCAAATAGGACTTGACACAGAGCAGACACCAGTAAAGGCAACTGGGCAGGGACTTCTCCTCCAGAGCACCCTTTGTCCCTGATGAGGGGAGTTTCCACACTGGGCTCCTCCTTCCCCTATGTCTGGGACAACAGTTCTGGAGATACAGCAGATGGGGCCCCAAGGCTGACCTGAGTGTCCTGGGGAGGAAAGCCTCAGCTGGTTTCCTAATTACCCCATGACAGCGGGCAGCCGAGGAATGCCTCAGTGAGCACCTCTGGGGTTGTGGGTGAAGTCAGCTCTGTGGAATCTGCCCCCACCCCTCCCATTCCCTTGGAGGGAGGGCGAGGTAATCCCTTAGCAGACACCCCTCCTCCTCAGTGGAGGCTGAGACAGTAGGAGGCAGGGGAGTGGCCTGCTTCATTAGCTTCTGCGGATAACTCAAGAAAGAAAGTCCATCTACTGGCAGGAATACACAGGAATTGTGGCTGGATTTTCTGGTTTCTATCAGAAGACTTCCCTGAGACTTAGAAGTTGAGTCTAACAGCTGGGGAAGGGGCAGGAAACCTTGAGCCTACAGCAGGTGGCTCCCAGGAAGACCCTTAATGCTCCCGGTTTGATTTTCACCTCCTTAGGTAATCTTACGTAGCTCACGGCCCCTTTTGGAGCCTCAGCTTCCCCAGCCACAAAATGGGTACAATAATTACTATATTCTGGCATTTCAGAGTATGCTAACACCTAGGTTATAGAGATGAAAGAGCAATTTGAGGGGTGCTGAAAATGAGGTAAAGGGAAAAGGGAGTCTGAGGAAGGGGAGAGGGCTACCAGAATTCTCTTTTCCTGCTCCTCAGGAGACACCAGGGCCAGCCTTCATTTCCAATTTTGGGGAAAGGGAGAAACACCTAAACTGGACACCTGATGTCGCCCTCCAGCATGCAAGCACCAGGTCTGGCTTGGTGCTTAATCTCCTCCTGCCACAACCCCAGCTAAGAGGGACCGAGTCCTTATTGGGATTTCTTGGCTTTTCCACTTAGCCACGGGTCTCTTGAGCCAAGGGCTGTGGAAGCACAGGACAAAGTTTGCCCTAGAACCTTGAGAGAGGGAAGGGGTGTGTTGGGGGGGGGTGAGGCCCAACGATGAAGATTTGGGAATGAAAACAAACCTATTTTGAACCCAAACATGCACACCTACCCATCCAGGACTGCCTGGTATCTTTAGTCGGAGCAGGCGGGGCTGTTCTCTCTCCGGCTCCCAGCCCCCCCCCCCCCCCCCCCCCCCCCCCCCAAACCCCCCCGCTCACCACCGCAGCCAAGTCCCTCCCCCATTCTCCTCCCATTTTCTAGCTAGGGCCAGGGTGAATGGTTCAAGAGGAATCGGGCTCTCCAGAGGTAGAAGGGAAAGCCAAGTGGGGAGGGAGCATGGTCTACGATCCATGCTCGTGCGATTTTGTTCCAGTCCCTGTCCCTCTCTAAGCCTCATTTTCCCTAGCAGTCCAGAGAATCGAACAGACTCTGGGTGCCTCCGAGCACAAGAACCTCAGGCAGGCTGGAGACACCATAACCCGCTCCCAGGGCCCGCTCACCTGCACAATCTGCCGGGGCTGCACGCTCAGAGTGGGGAAGTTGCCGCGCCCGTGAATGGGAATCGGTTCGCTCAGGAGCGCGTCCAGTCGCTTCACCTGTGGCCAGCCTAACCCACTCAGGTGCTGTCCGAGGGAGGCCGATGAGGCCTCCGGGTCGGGGCCGCCGCCTGCCGGGGCGGCCGTGGCCACCGCCGAGGCCGCGGCCGTTCCCACCGGCGCAGCTGCCTGGTCCGGGCTCTCAGCTCCACTCTCCGACGGCATCATTAGCCCGACCCCGGGGCCCCGACGGCAGAAACCGGGGGGTTGGCTAAGGGGAGAAGGGCAGGGAGAGCGGCTGGGCCGGGGCCAAGGCGAGAGGCGCGGCTGCAGGGACCGGGTGGCAGCGACGGCGAGGAAAACTCAGGGCACACCTCCGACGGCGACGACCAACCGACCCTAGAGCCGGTAGCCCAGGGCCCAGCGGACTCTTATAGGCCGCGGGCGACATGCCCATTGGTCCAGACAGCTGTCATACAGTGGGAGCGCCCCGCCTCTCGACGCCCCTGCCATTGGTCAGCAGAACTTTGCACGTGAGTCACTAGTCGCCAGGGAGATTCCGATTGGCTGGCTAGCACGGCCCTGCCCCGCCCTCCTGCGCCCGCTGAATTCCCTCCTTTGGTCCTTAAAGAACTTCTGTTCTCAGTGATTGGTCCCGGCGGAGGTAGGCCTAGACTTAAAGGGACTGCGCCCTCCAGGGGCACGCGGGAGGGAAGTGACCTGTGGAGTTTGTAGCGGAGTTGGACCACTAACAAATTCCAGGGTTCCTTTTGGCGCTGGAAAAAATTTGGAAGTCACCTGGCCTGGTCCTGGTTATCCGCTATTTTCAGAAGCCCAGAGAGACTGCGCCGCTGGTTCAGACTCCACACAGCGCTCCTCCTGCTCTTCCAGAATCGAGGAAAGGTAACAAACTCTGTATATACTGAGGTAGATACTATTTAACGCCCTCTTGATTGGCCCTTGTCAACCACAGCCTCGCCAGCGTTAACGTTCCTCTTGAGGGGAGGGGACACTGTTCAGAGAGGGGGCGTGACTCCCTCAAAGTTACACAGCAGATGAGTTGGGGCCCGGGTGCTGAACCCGGGCCTTAGAATCTGTGGCGCATGCTGTTTCCATTACATTTGGGCAGACGCAGGGCCTTTACCGGGCTGGAGGATGGAGGGCAGCTGGAAATGGGGAGTTGGTTTTCCTGACCCAGCGTCTTGGGCCCCTCTGCAGCCCCTTCTGGTAGGGGCTTCCTAAACAGCTGGTGGAAGTCTTTCCGGCCAGCTTCTCAACCTTATCAGGTCCTGTGTGCCCCCAGGCAAGTCACTAACCGCTCTGAGCCAGTTTCCTTTTCGGTCCCAGAGAAGATGTTCAATAAATATTTTTTAAATTTTGATTTGATTACTAATAGTTGGCAAAAACATTTTCATATATTCTATTGAAATAATGTGTTTACATGTTTTTCTTTCCTACTTTACAGAGCCTAGAGGGATGAGGCTTATTGTTACTTTTGAATTCACTTTTTCCTGTGATTTTTTTAAAAAAAGATTTTATGTGACAGAGAGAGACACAGCGAGAGAGGGAACACAAGCAGGAGGAGTGGGAGAGGGAGAAGCAGGCTTCCCGCTGAGCAGGGAGCCGGATGTGGGGCTCGATCCCAGACACTGAGATCATGACCTGAGCCAAAGGCAGACGCTTAATGACTGAGCCACTCAGGCACCCCTCTTCTGATTTTAAATATATGTACCTGTGGCAGAATTTCAGGAATTTCAGAAATTGAGTCGGCTTGATTTAACACTACAATATTTTCTCTTAGATTAAATATCATTCTTCTAATACTGTCCCATTCTATAAGGCAGGCCCAGCAAGGAGTAATAATCCCAATGTACAGAAGAGGAAACCAAGACCTACAGATGATAAACTACATTCCAGGGTCACCAGCTTGTCTCCGACAGACCTGGACCTAGAACCCAGGAGCCTGACTCTCAGACTAGAGCAATCACTTCCTCTTTCTGAAGGCCAGTGCAAGCAAGATCCTGCCTGTGTCCCCTCCCTCCCTTTTGTCTGGGATCAGGGGCTTCCTCTGGCCCCCAGGAAGGGGACCTGCGGCTAGCTCCACTGCTTGGCTGTGTGACTATGGGCAAGTCCCTTGTGCTGTCCTCAGTGAAGTTGCTTGTTTACCTTCTTTTGAAAGAGAAGAAATAGATGGGAAACCTCCTTTGCTGAACCCAGAGTGTCCAAACCCTCTGGGTTCAGCAAAGGAGGTTTGGCCCCAGCAGAGGAAGGAAAAGAAAGGAAACTAACATTTAGTGAGGACCTACTATGTACCAGGTCACTTTACACACAGGACCTCTAATTTCTAAAAATGCAGCTCAAGATGTGGGATCATTATCCTCAATTTGCAGATGAAGAAACCAGGGCTTGGATAGGTCAAGTGACATGGTAATACAACCACTAATTGGCAGGGTGGGACTTGAATCCAGGTCTCCTGACTCCAGAGCCCTATTTTCCAACTGCTCCTTGTGGAAGAGTTGGCACAGATCACAGTATCATGCTTAGCACAGCCCTGGGACCACCCTCAAGATGATTCATTCATTCATTCATCAACCAACTAAGCACCTACTGTGTACCAGGTGCTGGGCTAGGCCCTGAGATGTGATAGGCAAGGTCCCTGCCCTAGAGCTGACATTCTAGTATAGAAAGACAGTAGTTAAGTAAACAAATAAATAAGACATTTCAGATAGTGCTAAGAAGAAAATAAAGCAGGGAATGGGAGAGAGAGCAACCATGTGTATATGTGAGTGAGTGAGAGAGAAAACTGGAGAGACTGATGTCCATTGTTGGTGTAATCACAGAGCCTGCCCAGCAAGGTGACATTTCTACTGCACCTGCTGGATCCACTTCTGCCTTAACTCCCTGTGCTTGTCCCTGGAGAACCAGAGCAGCAGAGAAGGTGCCAGCCACACATCCCTACAACCCTGAAGCTCTGAGCTGGAGGGAGAGGGGGGCTTTGACAATCATTTTGTTCACTCTCTTCTCACTTTGTATAGGGGGAAACTGGAAGTTTGGAAGTCTGGAAGCCAGACTTTCTGGGAATCTGGGAGACTGGCTAGGGCTGGAACTACACAGGGGTAGGGTCCCCTGGGCGTGGCCTGGTGCTATGCCCACCCCACACTCTTGAATCAAGTTCTCTGAGAAAGGAAACTTAGAGATCTCTTTTCCTCTCACCTTCCTGCGGTCTGGGCTAGGAAGAGCAATTAGCAAATTCATGCTCTGTGAATCACCCTTCTGTTGACACTTCTATTCTAAAGCTAATTGGCTCAAAGTTTGCCCAATCACAGGACCTGAACATCACTACCCTAGGAGTGGGAGGAGATCCGGGAATGTAGGGAGGGGAGAGGGAAGACCAGAGAGCAGGGGTATACTCAGGAGGGTTTTTACCTTCACCAAGACCAACTTCTAATTGTCCCAGCAAATGGAGGGGAACGATGGCCGGGGTACCTTCTGAAGAGTACATCTGGCATTCAAATGTTATATATGAGCCTTTTCCCTCCCGTGCGTATTTCCCATCTTAATCCCGACTCTGATTTTAGAGGGGAACGTACTCTTTATGATAACTGAGTTGTAGTGACTTGGGTAAGTCACTTTCCTTTTCTGGGCCTCAGTTTCCTATTCTGTAAAATGGCAGTGAAATAGGAGTCAGGTTTTTCCATTCACCTGTGATTTGAGGTGATGGGAAGGAGAAGGGGTCCTTCGAAGAGTGTTGGCCTCCACATTGGCCCGTCTTCTGCTCTGGGACTCCAGACAAGAGCATTCTGGGATCAGGGGCACCTGGGTGGCTCAGTTGGTTAAGCATCTGCCTTCAGCTCAGGTCATGATCCCGGAGTCCCAGGTTCGAGCCCCACATCATGTTCCCTGCTCAGCAGGGAGTCTGCTTCTCCCTCTCCCGCTGACCTTCCCCCATCTCGTGCTCTCTCTCTCTCAAATAAGTAAAAATCTTAAATAAAAAAAAAAAAAAGGCATTCTGGGATCAGCCCACATTACTGAACACCCTGTGTCTGGAACCACACAAGGAAATTTCCATACAGTTTCTTATTCAATTTTCAGAACACATTTTTTTTTGAAGATTTTATTTATTTGAGAGAGAGGAAGAGCATGAGCAGCAGGGAAGGAGAGGGAGAGGGAGAAGCAGACTCCCCGCTGAGCAGGGAGCCCGACACGAGGCTTGATCTCAGGACTCTGGGATCATGACCTGAGCCGAAGGCAGACGCTTAACTGATTGAGTCACCCGGGCGCCCCGCCTTTTTTTTTTTTTAAATACTTTATTTATTGGGGCGCCTGGGTGGCTCAGTTGGTTAAGCGACTGCCTTCGGCTCAGGTCATGATCCTGGAGTCCCGGGATCGAGTCCCACATCGGGCTCCCTGCTCAGCGGGGAGTCTGCTTCTCCCTCTGACCCTCTTCCCTCTCGTGCTCTCTGTCTCTCATTCTCTCTCTCAAATAAATAAATAAAATCTTTTAAAAAAAAATCTTATTAAATACTTTATTTATTTATTTATTTATTTATTTATTGAGCACGAGCAGGGTGAGGGTCAGAGGGAGAGGGAGAGAGAGAATCTCAAGCAGACTGCATTGAGCCGTTGAGCACAGAGCCCAGAAGGGGTTCAATCTCACAACCCTGAGGTCATGCTCTGAACTGAAATCAAGAGTCAGACCTTAACTGACTGAGCCACCCAGGTGCCCACAGAACACAATCTTTGGACAAAGGAGTGATTTCTCGCTTTGCATGAGAGGAAACTAAGGCTCAGAGAAACAAATGAATTTATGCAGGGCCCCATAATTGGAAGGACGAGCTTCACCCCCAGGTCTAGCTGAACCCCAGGCCCAGGCCCCACCCAGGGCCCTGTCTCTGCGGATGACTTGGTTTGTTCGATTGCACAGAGATGGTTCTCTCCTCTGGTTCTCCACATCAAGATGGTTCTCCCCCATCCCCTCTTCTATGGTTCTTGTCCTCCACCCTGCCTCAGCCCCTCGTGGCCAAGGCACTCTCCTGGACCTTGTCAGTACCCTGCGTAATTTCAATAGCAAGTATTCCATCCTCCTAACACCACCTCCTGTCTTTCCTGCTCACAGCCTCTAGAACCTCAACTGCAATGGGTCCTGACTCCCCAGGCTCTTCAACCCATGGATCCTCCCACCTTTTCCCCACTGTTTCTAGCCTCCTTAACCAGCTTTGATTCCATGGACCATCATTATAATTACTGCCTTGCACACACCCTCAACCCCTTGCTCCTCTCACCTGGCAAAACCACACCCTGGCTAATCCAGCTGTGCGTTTGTACCCTACAGTTGATTGGCGCTGGAGAAGGACACAGCCCCACTGACAGGTCTCACTTGAACATCACGTCAGGGCCTCCATCCTCTCCAGGGGGCCCTTAAAACCCTCTGGCGATCCTACTGTATGACCTGCTGCTTTCACTCCACTGTGGTCCTGGACACAATCCCATACCTCTCCCCTGCACCTCAACCCTGGACACCTCCTTCCC